GGCATGTTGTTTCAGTTTCTAAAGTGCCAGAGCATACAGAACTATATTTACTGTTATTGCCATCTTAATATCTTACTATATTAGATGTTGGAATATGAAGTAGCTTTTGTGAAAGAATATTTGGCTTGTATTCACTCGCTGCTGTTTTTGAAGTCCAGATCTTGTATGTGATTTGTTTTCTTCATTGCAAGTTTAAGTACCTGATGAATAGACATGGTCCCCCTTGTGTGCGTTCCGTGAGCCTAGATTCTTTTACATTCATAAAAAAATTGAATTTGTTTTGTACCATTTTATATAGAGACACGAGTGTACCTGCTGTTTGATTCCAAACAGTGGAATTTAGTTTAATTTCAGTGTTTTTAATAAGGTATTTTGTTTTTAATGTTAAGCAGAGACTAAGTATTTTGAAGTAGATCAATAAGTATTTCCTTGACAGAATTCTAACACTAAAGGGAATAAGAGTTTAACAGATGAAGGCTTTTCTGGTCGCTGAAAGAGCGGGCGCTGGTGGAACTTTGGGAGACTTGATCCACAAAATGCATTTCCTAGTGAAGAGTGATGCTTGAATTTTAGAGAGTTGTTATACTGTGTGTTTTTGTGCGTATGTGTGAATAAATTCATTTGTATACTGTGGAAAATTTATCCATGCCTAAATGATCCTGCTGTCTGTTGTTTAGTTTGTCAATAGAAACTGTAATTTTAGCCACCTACATGATTGCATTCAATGTATGAAACCGTTTGAGACACTGTCCCTATGTAAAATTCAGTATGCAACTTACAGCAATTTAAATGATTACTCTGAAGACAAATAACATGTTTTGGGAAAGTATAGAAACTACTCCATGTTCATGGACAAGATCCAGGTGCTCTCCTGGGAGGACCAATATGACTGCAAGAAAAATGGGACTTTTTAAAGCCCAAATTACAACATATTTTCTTCCTTTTTTTGATGGCTTCAATTTGAGGTATCTGAACTTCTGCATCAGGCTGACTTTGATCCCATAATTTCCCTGAGTTTCTAAAAGACCATTAGTCTTGATCTTGACAATGCTTGATAACTGAGTCTTGACTGGTCTTCAGGGTAGAAAATGCCAAAGATTTATAACCCTTCGTATCAAGTAATATCTTCAGTGTCCTACACAGCTGACGCCTTCTCCTGAGAACGTGACCCTTCGTCAGATACTTGTGTCATCCCCTTACCCTGCAGGAGAAACAACCCTCAAAATTAATCCTGTCAAGCCCGCAAGAATGCGATGTGGTTCATTTGAGCTCCTGCTCTTCCAAGCTCCAAGAGAGTATATTTTTCTCAACCTGTACTCCAGTCAATCCTGTCCTTCCAGTAATTAGCTAAGTGAACCTTTGTCAGACTCCTGAGGCTGGAACATCTTTCTTTTGGAGTAGGAGACCATAAGTACATAAGGAGTGGGTTCACCAAAACCCAACAGCTAAACCAAATTACTGTTATACTGTAACCCCCTTGTAATAAAGACCAACGTGTACTTTTAAACTTTCTGAATTGCTAACTTTACCTTAATGTCACTTTTGAAATATGACACCACCTCTCCAACCTTCAATTCATTTAATTAATCAATACCTTTTAAGAAAAAAATTTCCATTCCTCTTATCAAAGTTCTGAAGCCCCTATCCCCAAACCTGTTCTCTTTTCCTTCAGAAGTATGGATGCTAAAAAGATCTTAAGGTTGGGGTTTTATTGGCAGTGTTGGAAAGCCACAAAATACTGCTTTTTGCAACACGTAAGTTGTTTATTTTCCAAAGATTGTTCTAATTAAAGTAAATCGCGCTTGGAGTTTTTTTCCTGACGATTGGAATATTGATTTGATGAGAAAAGTCTGAATTAGTAACTTTAAAAAAAGCAGATAATTGAAAGGTATTCCCTATGATTTTGTTCCTGTTAGTTCCTAAATAAAGGGTTTTTTTTTCTTATTATGGAATGGCTTTTTTTTTTGCTATAAAGTGGTATAGGAATTTGAGCTGATTTTCAGCGTAAAACAATTGCATTGAGTTCAACTAATGTTACATAGTGTGTATACAAGTAAGGCCTTTAGTATGCTGTCCTAGTAAAGGAAAATTATTTTACTAAAGGAAAAGATTCTGAATTAAATTGTGGACATGGAATATCACTACTTGAGAATTGATTTATTAGATTTTTTAAAATTAAGAATGGGCTGTGAAGTTTTCATTGTATTACATGTACAAATTATAAAACTATTCCAACTTGAAATTATATTTGGGTGTTGGTAAGAATTGAAAGATTGAACAGTTGGTCCTACGTAGTTATTTTAAATGGTGGTCAGGAAAAGATCAGCTTGCTTGTAAGGCCTACCCCAGACTTGCAGACAACTACACCCCGGAAAAAAAAAAAAAAAAAAATCCTTCAAAACCCATATTTGGAGGCAAACACTGCAAGTGCTGAGGAGATAGCATTGACTGATAAGGTTATGGATAATCCAAAGAGATTCTACAAATACATTGAGAGCGAGAGGGTAGGGACTCTTAAAGATCAAAGAGGTTGTCTTTGTGTTGAACCCCAGGAGATGGGAGAGATACTAGATGGATATTTTGTGTTGCTTTTTACTGTGGAGAAAGAAATGGAGTCCAGAGAATGCAGAGAAATAGACATTGTTTTAAAAACAGTTCACACTACAGAAGAGGAAGTTCAGGAGGCCTTAGAGAATATAAAGGTGGATAAACCTCCAGGACCTGATCTAATGTATTCCAGAACATTGTGGGAAGTAAGGAAGGAAATTACCAGAACCCTTGCAGAAATATTTGCATCATCTATAAGTACGGGTGAGGTGCCTGATGGCTAATGTTGTACTTTTTGTTTAAGAAAGGTTGTGAGGAGAAACTGGGGAACTATAGACCAGTGAGTCTGACTTCGGTTGTGGGTAAGTTGTTGGAGGTGATTACAAAAGATAGGACTTATGGATGTTTAGAGAGGCACAAATTGATTAGGGATAGTCAGCATGGTTTTGTGCGAGGAAAATCATGCTGCACAAGCTTGATTGAGTTTTCAAGGAAGTTGGCAAAAAATTGATGATGGCAGAGCAGTAGACGTTGTTTATTTGGATTTTAATAAAGCCTTTAACAACATTCTGCATGGTAGACTAACTAGTAAAGTTAGGTCACGTTAGATTCAGGGTGAGCTTGCCAATTGGATACATAATTGGCTTAATGGCAGAAGACCGTAATGGTGGAGGGTTGCTTTTCGGACAGGAGGCCTGTGACCAGTGGTGTTCCACAGGGATCGATTCTGGGTTCTTTTGTTTGTCATTTATAAAAATGATTTGGATGAGAATATAGAAGGCATGGTTAGTAATTTTGCAGACAACACCAAAATTGGTAACCTAATAGACAGTGAAGAAGGTTTTCTAAGATTACAGAGGGATCTTGTTCAAAAGTGTCGATGGGCTGAAAAATGGCACGTGGAGTTCTATATGGATAAATACGAGGTATTGCATTTTGGTACAACAAACAAGGGTATGGCTTCTGCAATTAATGGTAGGCCTTTGGTAGCGTTGTAGAACAGAGGGACATGGGGTGTAGGTGCCACATATAAACAGGGTGGTTAAATAGGTGTTTGGTACACTTGCCTTCGTTGCTCGATCCTTTGAGTATTGGAGTTGGGACATTATGTCGAGGTTGTACAGGACATTGGTGAAGCCTCTTCTGGAATACTGTGTCCTGTTCTGATCGTCCAGTTATAGGAAGGATATCATTAAGCTGGAGAGGATTCAGAAGAGATTCACCAGGATGTCACTGGGTGTGGAAGGTTTAAGTTATAAAGAAAGGCTGAATAGGCTGGGACTTTTTTCATTGGAGTGTAGGAGGTTGCGAGGTGACCTGATAAGTTTATCAAATCATGAGAAGGATAGATAGAGTTAATGGTGGTTGTCTTTTGCCTAGAAATGGGGGATTTCAAGACTAGAAGGCTCATTTTTAAGGTGAGAGTCAGAGATTTATAAAAGACTTGAGGGGCAAAGTTTTACACAGTGGTTCGTGTGTGGAGTGAATTGGTGGATGCAGGCACGATTACGTTTAAAAGACATTTGGATGGATATATAAATAGGAAAGGTTTGGAGGGATATGGGCCAGGAGCAGGCAGGTGAGACTAGTTTAGTTTGGGATTATCGTTGGCATAGACCGGTTGGACTAAAGGGTGTGTTTCCGTGCTATATTGACTTTCCCAACTCCTTGAGGTAACCAATTCAAGTTTTTATGCATATGCTGTTACTGTGTTCGCCACAGCGAACCACCATTCAATGAAACTACGGCTGATCTGTGATCTTACTGCTTATATTTGTCTTTGGCGCATATCCCTGAATACGTCTAAACAAAAATTTATATATCTCATGTAAAATGAACAACTGATCTGACATCAACTACCAGTTATGGAAATGAGTTCCAAACCAAATGTGTAGAAATGCTTCCAAGCATCTCTCCTATAAATGACTGCTAGACTTTTTCGACACTGCACCCTGATTCTAGAAGTAGAATCCCCAATCAGTGTAAATAGGTCATCTTTGTTTACTCTGTCTTTTCCTGTGAATATCTGTAATTCTAATGCAAATAGCCTATTTAAACTTTTTGTAGCCCCCTGTCAGCTGTCACACTACAGACCACCCTGCACACCCCACCCCCCTCCCCCAGCAACCCCAATAGAGGGGAGGGTGCAATTACAACATGACACATATGCATGAAACGAGTAAGTGTAGACATTGGAGTTTAAAATGGAATGCTCACCAGAGATTTGAGCAAGTGTCATGTATTACCCTGTGTGCAGGAACTTAATTAGAAGTGGAAGGAAATCTGACCTTCTTTTCCTTAGCTGCTGTCTAAAGGATGTCTTTTAAGTCAAAAGTTGTCTTATAACTTGTCAGTATATTTTTTTTTAGGAAAACATTGTGTTTAATGTGGTTTAGATTATTCTCACATTGTAGAATCTCTCAAGTTGCTAAGCAAATAATTTAATTTTCCAGATGGCTTGAGCAACTGATGGTATATCCCAGAACTAATAAGCAAAATCAGAAGAAGAAAAGGAAGGTGGAACCTACAACTGCGCAGGTACAGTGTGCAATTAAAGCTTTACAAAACTGAACTCTAAGAATTTCCAACATGGAAGTGACAAATAGTTTTTATTGGGTCAGAACCACCATTTTTTTTCAATGACGGTTTAGAGGAGTGAAAAGTATTTGCATTTTTGATGGTAAAGTTTGTTTGTGTCCTGAAATGATTTTTTTAATATTAAACAAAATAGTGTGTGTGTGTGTACAGGTAAGGATAATTCTGTTGATGAACACCATTGTAGAGAAGTGAGTTGGTCAGTAATGTCTTGCACCTGCACATTATCAAAAATCAGGAAGTTTCTGTCCAATCTGCATGCTACACCTCTGCCTCGCTGAAGGATCTGTATTCAAACAAATGAAGGGTGTGAAGCTACTGTATTTTTAAATTCATTCACAGGCTGTGGGTATTTGGCCATCATTGATTTCCCATCCCTCGTTGGCCCTTGAGAAGGTGTGAAAGGCTGCAGCCTTGAACTGCTGCAGTCCATTTGCTGTAGGTAGGCCCACAATGCTATTAGGGATTGAGTTCCAGGATTTTGATCCAACAACACCTAAAGTAATGGCAGTATATTTCTAGATAGTAAGTGGCTGGGAAGGGAACTTGTAGGTGGTGGTGTTCCAATATACTTGCTGTCCTCTTCCTATGAGATGGTAGTGGTCATGAGTTGGGAGGGTGCTGCCTAAGGAACGTCAGTGAATTTCTTCGTGCATGTTATGGATAGTGCATCAATGGTGGAGCTGATTTGTCGATGTTGTACCATTCAAGTGGGCTGCTTTTTCCTAGGTGGTGTCAAGCTTGTTGGGTAGTGTTGGAGCTGCACTTATCCAGGCAATTGGGTAGTATTCCATCTCTCTCCTGACTTAGCTACTGAACATATCCTAAAGTGTTAGAGCCTGTTTGTTCAAGCATAAATGAAATTTAATTAATGTGATTTCATAATTATTGCCAGACAACCCATTTCACACTAGAAATTAAATTATGTAGGTAAAAGTGAGATGCTGGAAATGTGAAATAAAGAAAATGCTGGAGAATGTCTGGTCTGAGAGCATCTGTGGAGTGAGGGACAGAGTTAACCTTCTGAAGAAGTGTCATATTGGACTAAAAATGTTAACTTTTTTTGTTTACTCCCTACCCCCATCTCCTCCCCCTCCCGCTCCGCCTCTCTCTCGCTCGTCTCTCACTCCCTTGCTCCTGTCTCGCTCCCTCCACCTCCCCATAGCTCCCCTCTCGCTCTCTCCACAGATGCTGCCGGACCTCCTGAGTTTCTCCTAGCATTTCCTGTTTCTATTTATTATGTAGGTATTGAGTTATTCCTTCAAAAAAATTAAAAATCTGGAGATTTTTTAAAAAAGTTAAATTTTTATTTCGTGTTTGTTGCATCTCTCTCCACCCCATCTTCTGCCTCCTTTTATTTTCTTCTGTAATTGATTTAACATGAACTTGCATTTTGTGATTTTTAGACTCTGCATGTCTTAGTCTAGTTGTTTCTTATCCTGTTCAGACTGGTCCCAGAATCCATATTGAAGGTGCCACATTACTTTTGCTCTCTGATAAACTGCCGATTGCAGTGCAAAATGCTATAACAATTTTGTGATAAACTTTTAGGCTTACACTTGAGCAAATTGTTCAAGTTGTTAACGTGTGGTGAACATTGTTTATTTGCTGCTGACTGTAAAAACTAGGCAATTCTGTCTTGGCAAGACTTTGAATACAATTTGTAGCAAGGTGTATGATAAAGTGTATATGTTAAGTATATACTGGAATAATGATTTGAGTTTTCTATTTAGATGGTCATTTCGTTGTGGATTTATGTACCGTATATAGACAATGAAACAAAAATGAATTAGTAAGCTTTTATTTATACATAGTGAAATTGAAATATAATACAGCTTTAAATTACAATTACATGGTACATCGTAATTTAAATAAATTAAAATTAGCCTGTCTTCTGCCAATTTCTGATTACAAACTGGTGAAACTAATACCTTATCTTCTAGTTCAGCAGGAAGCTTTTGTGCAGTCTTAGTTTTCTGCCAAAGTGCTAAGTCATGCCTTCTCGTGAACCTTTTGCACCATTCAGCACTTGCCTTAAAATCCAAAATTCTTTGATTTGTTTTGTACGTGGATTCAGATTGCTTCACGACTAGCACACTTTTTCCACTTTGACGATTTTCAAGTACCCAGTCAGCAACTTTTTCCTCCAGTTGTGGCGGCTTGCTAGGTTTACCTCTGGCACACTTTTTTGTTTTGGCATTGTCTGAAGTGGATTTGATATCTTTCTCCAGTTTCTGTGAAACACGCAATTCTCTTGCTGCTACAAAGTTATTTGTTTTCTCCTCAACTTCAATAACTTTCAGTTTAAATGTTGCTGTATTTTTTTTGTCTTTTTCTGGAGGGCATTTTTACACAAAATGATGAAATTTCAAAACCTCAACTAGGTATATGACTGTATTCCACGAGTGGTACAGGGGAATTGAGCTTAGATGAGCTGCACACAAAGGGAGGTTGTCACCTGATTCTGCGTGTTGAACTTGCGTGCCAAATTGGTGTGAATTGTACATCAAAACACATAATAGCACAAAAAAATTCATCTCCTCATTGTGACATTTGTGTACAGGATAATATGTACTCGCAAAGGTTGATCTGTTATCTGTGAAGAACTAGGGTCCACTTTTACAGGAGGTATATGGAAAATTCCAGATTATTTGGCCAAAAATATGAGGTCAATTTTTACGCTAGTATATATGGCAAGTACTTTGGACTGTTGCTTTGAATTTAATCACATGATGTCATTGTCATTTGCCATTTCGGAGGGAAACAGCTCAGACTAGTTTGCCTGCAAGGGGAACACCTACGTAATAAAGCTCCTGTTGTTGGTTAAGCACTTTGGCCTCCTATCCTCCTTGAAATGTAATGCAAGAAGGAAACATATGATGAGGATCAAACCTAACTTCAAGGTCTACTGGTTCAATCCACAGATGGGGGAGGGGGGGAAAATCGTGATTCTCACTACAAATCTTGAATGTATTTTTAAAAAACAAACCACCATCGTTGCACTGAAGCAGACTCAATCAGTGGAAAAATAAGAATGCACCCAGGGAAGTGGTGAATGATGCAGAAGATGCTTGACACATGGTCCACCTTGAAGGAATGTGAGAACTAAGTACCCTATGGGAAATAAAATGTTTTGGGTGGGGGGGTGGTGTGGAAAAAGAAAGGCAGCCTCAGGAATACCTTGTAAATGGGGGGAGAAAGCAAGGTAGATCTAAAGTTTTTGTGGTACATCGTGGTGCACGTGTCATTTACATTTTAAAAGATAATAAAACAGAAATATTGGCACTGTAGGACTGTATGATGAAAAGACAGAACTGGAACTCCACAGATTCCAATATTTTGTTCAAGCTAACAAAATTGAAGCAGATATAGTTGTCCCTACTTTAAGTATTATGGGGTAAAACCTTTAACTTCTGAGGAGTTTAGTACAACCAGAGAAGCCATGTCCCAAATCTTTTGAAGAAATAGTATGAATCCTACAAAAACGTTTCTATCATAGTGGAGCCGCAGGGGAAAAAAAAATTAAAATTCCATTTTTTTGTTTTAAAAAAAAGAGAAATTGCTGTTTCCTAATGCAATCTACAAAGCATTAGTAATTGCTGAAAGGTTCATATTCTACAAAAGCAACCAGCATGGTGAATTTATCTTTCAGTTCACAGCAGTTTTAAAGACGTTAGCAAAATTCTGCAAATTTGGAGACAAATTAAATGATGTTGCCTGGTTCAAGATGTGAAGCAATCCAGACGAGGTTTCTGACAACAAGGAGTCTAGACTTAAAGAATATATTAGAAATAGTAGTCTCGATAGAACGTTCAGACTCAAAACTGCCGTTGGTGTGGAAAGACGAATCACGCAGCAGCAAATTGCTGGTACAACAAAGCTGCTTGAGGAAGCAGCAAGGCGACATACAGCAAAAACTGAAGAGTTCTAAGAAATCTACATTTGTACAAAAATAGCATGGGGATAGCTTAGACTTTGTCTGAAGAGGAGCTGTTATGAAACATACTGGCCATTGCTAGCGACACCAACCGATATTGGGTTGTTTCTTCACTGAATGGCAAACTGGTAAGAATTTAGGGGTGGATATCAGAGTGGTGGTTTCATTTGATTGCTGGAAAATGTATCCAGAGCAGTTGAGTCACATTGCAACCCTCCAAAATTATACTAAGACCGCACACCTGCAAAGTGGTGCCTTTTAAGTGGATGTATTAAAGTGAATGTTTAGTTATGTGGTCAGTCTGAAGATGTATCCTTGCATGTTACCAAGGAAATTTTGCAGCTTTGTTAGAAGAACATAGTTGGAAAAAATCAAATGTAACTGGGCTGAAGTAACTACTTGTCAGATTTGGAGACTGATTTGTTTCAAGTTCTAAAGAAACATGCCATTGTTTTCAATGAAGATGTAGGAAACGTGGTAGAGATTTGTCTTGTGCCTTCTGTGTCTTATCCATTGAGACCAAAGGCAGAGGCAAAAATCCAACCAAACAAGTATGAATTGAACCAGGCTTTACTAAATGTTGCAGTTTTGCTTGAGAAGAACAAAAGTGACCACTACGCCTGTAATGTTGGTATTGCACAATCAAGAGTTCACCTGACAATTGTGGCTTTGCATATGACCTTCGGGCAAAGCTAAAGGTTGAAGAAGCTCAAGAGGATGATCCTGCCATCCTGTGTTTTGAAATTAGGAAATGAGATACAATAGTACTATGGACAAAATAATTTACTCTAATTCAGCCAAATGTGAAATGAAGCAAGAAAGATCCGTTCGTTGAGCTGGTTATTCACAAACTTAAGTCAGAGGGTAGTGAAAGATAGAAACCAGAATAACTGCGGATACAGTAAATCAGGAACGAAAGCAAAAGTTGCTGGAAAAGCTCAGAAGGGCAGGCAGCATCTCTGAAGAAAAATCAGTGTTAACGTTCCAGGTCCAGATCCCATTCTGA